GCCTATTGAAACGATAAAATTGCTATAGTATTCTGGTGAAAAGACTAAAGCAAAGTTGGAAGAACAAAGTTCTAGACTTCTATTGATTTCTTGGATGATTGAATTGATGAATATAACATAGGGGAAGGGGCCTTTATATAGGCACCAACTAGATCTAAGTCTATTCTACTTAGGGAACTAATAAAGAAATAAAATATTAAGTAACCTAAACAATCTAGATATTATAATGCAATAAGGAAACCAAATAGCTAGGGGATCTAATGCCTTGGCTTGCACTCCAAGTAGTCTTGTCTTGCACTTCCCAACCTCCTCTCTCTCTCTCTCACGCCACCTAGGTCTTCCTGACGCCTCACGCCTCCTTGCCTTAGTCCTCGAGGACTAAGGTCGCGTCTCCTACGCCCGCCTATCCACTTGTCTCGAGGAGTAAGGTCTCCCACCTTGTGTACGCTATTCCTATTCCTTAAAGGATCAGACTTTGAGCCCATAACCACCTTGCCTATTTTTACTAGGAATAGGCTCCCGGCTACGTTACCTAATCTTCCGAGGAATACTCCCGTCACTGATCCTTCACGCACGTTCCGGCACTCAGCTGCTTTTCCTAGTCCTGCGGGGTCTAGGATTCGCGCCATGCCTATTCCTATGAGGACTAGGCTTGCTTCCTTGGCCTTGCCTCACCCTTCGGGTGCGCACGCGATCACACCCTTCGCCCGCGTGACTATCTTGTGCGCGTCGCCCAGCTTGCCTAAGCCTACTAGGTCTAGGTCTTCGCCAATCCTACATGCGTCGCCAACTGCGCACGCGGCTCGCCCATGCGCCGCCGTTCCTAAGCTTCGCGCGCCTGCGCACCACTCGCGCCCCATCGCGCACCCGCCCATCTGGTTACCAAGCTCCCGCGCGTCATTGTTAACCGCGTGGCTGCTGCCCACGCTCGATAACCCCGCGCTATTCCCGCACCTGTCCACTGGCCCGCGCGTCCCGCTCAGCGCCCCAGCGCTCCATTCGCCTACTGCGCGCCTACGTGCACTCAGCGCTGTCCGCGTATCGTCCAGCGCCCGATGCGTGCTTGTCCATTTGCTGCAATCCCTCGTGCGCATCAACCTCCCGACATCCTCCCCCTGTGCACCACTTTGCCTAACCTCCAAGCGCCATGCGCGTCTACGCCAATGCGCGTATTCACGCCCTTGTCTAATGCGCCCTTTCTTGCGCTCGATAGTCGCCCTCTTATGGACCACCTTTTTGCGTGCCCTTGCATACCTCCATGTGCTCGATCCTTCTAGCCTTGATCTCTCGAGCCTCTTGCTCGACCTCCTATGCCATTGTGCACGTCGACACCCTCGTATACGGGCTCGTGCACGTCTCTTAGGCCATGCAAGCCTTGTTTGCTCCCTTTGCTTGGCCTTCTCGGGTAGTATCAGCCTTCGGACCTTCTCATCTTCGGGGCTCAAAACCCACTTCAGCATCATTCCCGCCCCCTTTAAGAATGTCCTTGTCCTCAAGGACTTCTCATCGACCATCAACTGGGGCGTCATGACCACAACATCTTCTTTGGACTCGACCAAAATTCTTTCGACCTCGACAAAGTATTCATCGGGGTATCCATCAAAAATAGGTGGTCCTTCATAGTCCGTCGACTCGCACTCGTACTTCATGGCCGTTGAGTTCTTAAAATATTTCGAGAATTCAAACGGAAGAATAGACTCCTTACACTTTTCGTCGATCATGCCTTCTTCTTTGTCAGACTTGCTTAGTACACGGTCGGTTGCTCTACCCAACTCGCGTATCTCGGATTGCTGCCGCTCGATCGTCCAAACCTCTTGCACCTCGCCTTTGACCTCAGTTGCTTCGACCTCGGTTTCCTCGACATCGATCACTAGTTGGAACATCGCCTCCTCTTCAACCGCCTTGACCCTTTTACACGTCTCGTCATGGGTCTCTTTGTCCATTACTTTGATCTCGCTCGCGACATCGATTACCTCGTCTTCGTGCGTGCCTCGCTCACGGTCGTGGAGTTGTTCGAACTCTTGATCGTCGCGTCGTCGCTCGCGTTCGAACTCCTCGTATGGTCGTTCACGTGCATCGTGGCGTTGCGCACCTTTGGCCCACTCTTGCACGTTTCGCGCATCGCGTCTAGGTGATGGCGTGCGTTCCTCGTGTTCAGCGTGCCTGCGGTTCTCGC